AGGTCAGAGGTGTCGGGGGTTGGTGGTGAGAGGATTCACCAGAGACAGAGTGGGGAGCAGAACAGGCAGATCGACTGAAATATACTGCTGAGGGGAGCAGCAGGAGAGTCAGGAGAGGTCTGCGCCATGCAGGCAGCTCCCTGGCCAAAGATCAAAATCATGCTGCAGAGGCTGCGGAGAGCTTCATAGGTTGAGTCTTAACACTTTGTGCCATCAGGGAAGCCCGTATTATGCTCATTGTTAACAGTTATCAAAAGCTGCTTTGTGCCAAGAACTGTGCCTCCACACATTCATAGGTTTAATCCTCACAGGGCTCACAGCACTGGAATCATTCCCATTTTACTGATAGGGAAACTGAGGTTAATGAGGATAAGAGGCCACCCAGTTTGTAAGAGGTGGAGCAGGAATACAAATCCCGAAATTTGAGCCCATTCTCCTAAATTTTGGTTATGACACCCAGCAACAGCAGCACCTAAGAGCGGCAGAAAAACTTAGAGTACATCTATTTTTCTTTATAGTCCATTGAGGAAACTGAAGGCCAGAGAGGGGCAGTGAAAGATTAAGGCCACACAGCTGGTAAGAGAGAGCTATCAGATTTGACTGCTGGATCAGGATTAGAGCACGGAGCGAATGTTTCTAGATTTTAGGAGGCTCTCTCTCAGGTGCTGACCTTGCACCAGCCATCCTGAGAGAGAGAGACTCTAAATTTTATGCACTCTGCCTCACCCTAGTCCTACTCACCCTCCTCCCACACTCTTCCTACTCTTGTCTCACCCTCTTCCTAGCTTTCACCTGCTTCTTCTTCTGGTTTGGTGGTGAGAACAACAGACGTCCAGCCATGGGTTCATTTAGTAGATTTTATGTCCCAAGGCAGGGACCTTGGTGGATATTTGTACGGAATTTTGCCACTATCACTAAATTTTACTCAGGGGTTGGATGGAGCTTCTGCTTCTGGTGGGTACCATGGACAGAACAGTTTTGAAGTGGGACAAACTCTGACTCCAGCAATTAAGGATAAAACTAGGAGAATCTTAATTCTGTCTTGACAAAGCCGGGCACAGAATGGAGTCCGTGGGAAAGGGAATCCTAATGTCCTCTGAATTTTACTGGGTGAAGTGAGAAATGCCAGAGAAAGCTTTGAGGGAGGGACTTGCCCATCAGAGGCAGAATAAATTGTCAACGGCTGATCCAGGAGGGCCAGGTGCTCAGACAGCATTTCTCAAAGCCTCAGACAGTATGTCCACTTTATTCGCAAAAGAAAAATCCTCCCTGAGGTGTGTACCGCACCTTCCCTTAGTCCGGGTCTCCCTGCTCTTGTAGTTCAAGGAGAAAAGAGACAAACCACACATACAAAGCACCCGTTCCTATTAAGCTGGAGCACCTCAGCAAGTCCGCAGTGCTTGGAGAGGGTGGGGGTTGGGAGAAGGGGCTTTCAAGCGGTCACAGCTGCGCCAGGTCTTCCCTCTCCCAGTCGGTCCAGTTAGAGGGTTGTGGTGCCCACTCAGCTGCTTCGGAGGGAAAACACTTCCTCCCCCTGGCCCTGGGGCTTGAGGCAGGCGGCATGGATTGACCTCTGGCATGCCCGAATTTCCTCTTCTCCAGAACCTCTGGTGGCCTAGGCCCTGCCTCTGAGTACCCCTTAGGCGGCAAGTTCTTTGCTCCTTCTCGCTGGCCCTAGGTGTCCGCATCCCACCAGGCGTGGCTCAACCTGCCTCACGTCTGAATTTTACTGGGTGAAGTGAGAAAAAAAGCCAGAGAAAGCTTTAAGGGAGGGACTTGCCCAGCTGAGGCAGACATTCTGAGGTGGGTTTTTTGTGTGTGTGTGTGTGTGTGTGTGTGTTTTTTTCCTGCTCGCCCTTTCCTAGGTGCAGATGTTTCTCAAACCCTACTGGGCCCAGTCTTCCCCCCTGGTCTGCCCTTCTCTGTTCTCAGCCCGTGCCCAGCGCGGGGCCGGGGTGCTCCCCTGGCTCTCCTCCACCTCAGGGCAGGGGTGTCCCCGAGCCCCAGCAGCCAGGAGCAGGGAGGGGGCTGCTGGACCCTGCGGGAGGGGGAGTAGGGAGAAGACAGGAGGGTGGACACAGGAAAAGGTTAAAAAGAGGAGAAAATAGAAATGAGAGACGAGAGGGGATTAGAGAGAGAAAAGGGGGGGGTATGAGAAAAGCAACGAACAGGGGCTCTGAGAGGGGAGAGGTGAGAGGAGATTCTGGAAAAGGTTGAGTCAGAGTGAGGAACCCGGAGGAGAGATGGAGAGAGACCCTAAGATCGGAAAAAGCGAGCGAGCGGGGTAGCAGGGTCTGAAAGGACCGGAAAGAGAACGAGGAAAAAAAAAAAAGAGTGTGTGTGTGGGGGGGTGGGGTGGGGGCGGAGGGAGCCGGGGGCGGGGGGGGGGGGAGGGGCCGGGGCCGGCGGCGGGGGCCGGCTCGGCGGAGCTGCCGCGGCTCGAGCCGCTCACTCGCTCGCCTGCGGTGCCCGCCGCGCGCGCCCGGCTCTGGGCTGCTCGGGCTCGGGCTCCTGCCGGGCGCTCGGGCGCTTCCCGGGCTCGGAGGACCGACCACGCGACGGACCCGCCGAGCCTCGCGCCGGCCGGGGAGCAGGTAGGCGGGAGCGGGAGCTGCGAGGGCGCGAGCCTGGGAGCGCTGGGGCGCCGGGGGCCGGGCTCGGCGGGTCCGGCTCTGAGGAGGTTTTGCAGCCTCGCGACTAACTTTCCACCGGCTCCGTGGACCCCGGCGCAGCCCCTCGTTGCGCCCGGGCGGGCTGCGGAAGCCGAGTTGGGCGCGCGGAGGTGAGTGCCGGCGTTGGGGGGTCGCCGGGGGTCCCGGCAGGACGTGGGGCGCCCCGCCGGAGGCAGGCTCGGGGCCTCTGGCCGCAGTCGGGACGCAGCGGCCGCGGCCGGGAGGACCCTGGCGCAGCGGCGCGGCCGTCCCGGGGAGGGCGCCCGCCCCCGGAGTCTGGGGACTCCCGCCCCGGAGCCGCCCCGGGCGCGCCGGCTGCGCGCGGGGCCCGGGCGCCCTCCCTGCTCGGCCCGGGGCTCGCAGCCCGCGGGCGCGGTCGGGGCTCCGCGGAGACCAGCCGGGCGCCGAGCTGCCGCCGAGCCTCGCCCGGGCCACGCGCGCCTTTGCTTTTCTGAGGCGCGAAGGGGAGCGGACACCCGCGTCCTTCTCTCTCCCGCGGGCCCCCCGACTCTCCCAGGAAGCCCACTCAGCCGGGCAGACCTGTGGGTTGACTGCGGACGCCCCTCCAGCCGGCGGGGCGACCCCCGTTCCCGAAGTTGACAGGGAAGGAGCCGCTGCCCGCGCGCGCCGGGAGCGCGGCTCCGAAGTTCCCAACTTCCCGCCCGGCCGCCCGCGGTGGCGTTGGAGGCGGGGAGGCGGGTGGGCTTCGTGGCCTCCGGAGCCGCCGAGCACAGCCTCCTTCCTCCTGGACTTGGTTTATTTTCCTGATTTCTCAGGGGGAAAAAAGATGCCAAATATGCAAAATCGCTCCCCGTGGGCGTCCGGGTCGCGCGCGGGACAGGAGCCGTCACCCGCGGACGCCCGGGAGCGCGGAGCCCAGCGGGCGCGTCCCCGAATCCCGAGACCTGCTTTCGCCTGGACCCGGCGGCTCCGCTCCATCCCCCGCCGCGGCTACGGCGTTCTGGTCCCCCTGGTCGTCGCGGTCACTCGGGTCTGGCTTCCTCCCGCATATTCTGTAGAAAATAATACTTCGAAGTGGCTCCTCTCCAGGATTTTCCTCTCCGTCCTGCCGGGAGCGAATAGAGCAGGGGACCTCGGGTGGGTTGGAGTGGACCTTAGGGGTGCTTGGAGCTCCTGGGCACCTCAGCGTGCTCTGGCAAGGGTATTTTTGCCGGGGCATCCGCGCCCCTCCCGTGCTCTGCCGGGGAAGCAGGAGTTAATATCCGGCCAGGTGGCGGCGACCGGTGGCTGTTCGGGACGCTTGAGCCCGGCGGGGCTCCCGGCCGCTCGCTCCCTGAGTCCAGAGGGCTCATTCGCCCGCTCCTGCGGCTTCCTTGGAGCCGTCCGCCCCGGCCTCACAGACGTCTCTGGAGGGGTTCACTTGAAAGGTTTAGAGTAGGTTTAGTGGAGACCTTGCGCATAGGGGACCATGGGCTCCTGCAAATTGGGTGGGGATTACTCTTCTGCTCCCTCCCTTATCCCCAGAGCATGGAGCTGATCACTCCAAGGCATCCCCTTTTCAATTCTCTGGCGGGTTTTCCTTGGTGTACTCCACACCGCCAGCTCTCTCCGATGCTCACATATTAAGTTGCTGGAAATTCAAGGTCCATGACTGCAGTCTCCCTGTCTTCCTTCCATCGTGCAGATCAGCAAACTAGGGTCCAGGGAGGTAAAAGGACTCTTAGAGTTGGTTAAATCAAAAAAGGGACGTAAAGCAAGTCTCCTAACTAGCTCAGGTCTCCTACCTAGCTCAGGGCTTTTTCTAAGACCCCACCTGAGGTTAGCACTTTCTTAGCACAGGGCAAATGTTCCCAGTCGGGTTACTGCACACCCTTGCAAATTCAAGGTTGGATGTGTGTGAGGCTCACTGATCTCTCCTAAGGTTCTAGGCAGTGATCATCCCTAAGGCTACATCACTTAGGTGGTGTTTGCATACCTCCCTCTGCTTGCACTGAAATCTAGGGAAATAGAGTCCTTCCACCCCATCCAGCCCTGTAAGGTGCAGTCCACAGGGAAAGAGCAGCCATTGTTTGCAGCCAAGAGAGTGAGTTGCGTGTAGGCATTCTCAAGCGTGATTGCTCCGGAGGAATGAGTATAGTCTCTAGAGAAGAGAATATTTGGAATTGGACCTTAGGTAGATTTCCACTTGGGGTAGGAGGATTCTCAGTAGTAAGGAGTGAGTACTAAGGAGGTGTGAGTACAAAGAGGGAGGGAGGAAAGTTCAACTTAAGTGGCTGGTCAAAGGGCTGCAGAATTAGGGCCAGTGAAAATTTGGCCTTTGAATAAGAAGCACTAGGGTAAATACAAGAGTCTACTGCTAAAGACGCAAGCTCAGAACCTGGCCTCAGAGGTCTTTTAGTTCTAGATCTTGGGTGAACAATTGACTAGGCTATTAGCCACCCATGAGCTGAGGGTTGTAGCTCTGGCTGGGAAATAGTCCAGCTTTTGCTTCCCCTCTCCCACTTTCTTATTGTTACCTGCAGTCCAATCCTTTCTTTGCCCCTCCCAATCCATAACTTTAGAATTTAGAGACATAAGTTGTTTGGATCCACTGTGGTCAGGATATTTACAGTGCTAGGGATGTTTAGCCAATGAATTGTTCGTGAGTTCCTGCTTTAGACTGGTCTAGGCACTGATCTAGGCCTTAGGGATACATGACTGTACACCATGGTACTGACATTCTAGGTTTCTGCCCTCCTCAGGCTTAACGTTTTGTTCTAGAGTAGATGCAAATATATAGCAGATGTCTGGAAAGGTGCTGAAATGCAACACTAACACAGAGAGTCCTGAACCTCCCTTTTGGTGGTTCAAAGCTGCCAGGTGAACATGCTTGAAGCTATTGGTTATGCGATTTGGAGATTCTGTAGGCTTCCATGATTGCAGTTATGATTATTAGCGGTAACTCAGAGGTAGCTGCATTGAAGACTTAGATATGGCATTGGAAAACTGTTCTGCAGAGCTTCTGCCAGTCAGAGAGTGGTGTGAGGGACCTGGTGAGTATTGGCAGCTGTGATCTCCTTAGGTAGCCATAGAGACTAGTGCCAGGTAACCATATGCACCAGTCCATTAATTCCATCTCCTCTAGCTACTTCATGAACTCTGTAGCTTCATTGTACAGATGGGTACATGGAGCCGTGTTTCTGCAGATTGGAACTGCTCTGCAGAAAGGAGCCCTGTCTGTGTAGAATCCAGGTATCCCTGATCTTTGAGTCAATTTTAAATGATGCTTTCTTTTTGTGTTTGTAGATCAAGAGTTCTCACACTTCAGTGTGGAAAATATGTTTAAATACCAATTGCTGGGCTGTACTCCCAAAGTTTCTGATTCAGTGGGTCCAGTAATTTGCATTTCTAACCATTTCCCAGGTGATGTTGATGCTCTTGGCTCCAGAACCACACTTTGAGAACCACTGTGGTGAAACAAAGGAAGGTGAGTGATTGTCTTGAGACTATGCCATAGGGAAGCCTGTGATTTAGTTCTAGGAACTCCCAGAATTTGCCTACAGACAGTCCCTTCCCCCTCCCCTCCAGGAAGCCATAGAATTAAAAGAATATTTTATCTTCATCAGCATACACACGGAGAGAATATATTGCAGCATAATTAGGGAATAAATAGGTATCATGTGTGGGATGTAGACTCCATGCCCCATGGCTCTGTGGGGGTTTATTATAGCAGTGTTATAATTGAAAGGGTGTCATCCACTCCTAGAGCCCCTCATGAAACTTTCATGGCCTGGGTGGTCATTGTCCAAAAAGGCATGTCTTCTTCATTTGAAAGAAAGTCAGAGATTGCTTCTTCTGCTAATAGGAGTGTGTTTCATTTGACAGTAACTATATAGTGTGTTTTTAGGGGAGAGAGAAAAAAATCCACATCCCCTGTGAGCAGAGAGGGGTTGGAGGAAGTCCATATTACAGGCTTACAGATGTGGTTGTTGAACATTTCAAAATGCTTTGAAACTCTGTCCGTCTGTCTGTTTTACCTATATTCCTGATATGAAGCTGTCTCTCAACAGCAGGAGGAAAGGAGAGTTTGTTTCAACTTAGCTGATTGGATAAATGAAACAGCACATTCTATCCCTGATGTATTAATTAGACCCAAAAGAAAAGAACCATAAAAGAGTTGTTCTCCTAAATGCTGGCATTTTTCATCTGGATTCTATTTATTGATTATTTTACAGTTGAGAAGGAGCAAAAATCCATGTTTTTATAGCAAATAAAGCTGGCTGCAGTAATTATGCAGGCTCAACATGTCTGTTCTGGAGCAGGAAGTTGGAATTCAGCCTGACTCTCAAACATTTGGGTGAGATCTAATTGAGAAAGACATTTCAAAGAACAAATATTTAGGAATGCAGAGTTTGCTGGTCTCTCTGGGCCAAGCAAGTACCTTGCTTTTAGCTTGATTCTTAGAGGCAGAGGAAGGACCTAGTCAGTAATGTTGAGGCAACAGTCGAAACATGAGGCTACAACTGAGAGATAATCAGTGAGGCTTAGTAAAGGCAAGGATAATACTTCAGAGATTATATACCCTATAACTGGTGAGCAAGGGGGACAATCTATCAGTCAGATATAGATTGAACACTTACTGAGTGTCTAGTCTTGCAACAGGCACAATGTGGGCAGGGACCAGGACTTTTTAAAGATTTATTTATTTATGCATACAAGAGCTGGGGTACTGGCCAAAGGCACAGGAGGTGAGAGGATCCACCAGAGACAGAACAGGGAACAGAACAGGCAGATTGACTGAAGTACACTGCTGAGGGGAACAGTGGGCGGCAGGAGAGGTCTGCTGTGCCATGTGGGTTGCTCCCTGGCTGGCTGGGGATCCGGGGATTGAACTCATGCTGCAGTGGTTGCTGACAGCTTCATAGGTTGCGTCTTAACCCCTTGCATCACCAGGGAGGCCCCAGGACTTTTATTTTTTAACTTCGTTTTTATTTATATATTTATTTAGTGTAGAAGAACTGGGGTGTGGGCCAGGTGTGTTTGTGGGTGGGGGGGTGAGAGGATTCACCAGAGACGGAGTGGGAAGCAGAACAGGCAGATTTACTGAAATACATTGCTAAGGGCAGCAGTTAGCATGACAGGAGAGGTCTGTTGTGGCATATGTGGGTTAGCTCCCTTGCCTGGGCTCAAACTCAGGCCATTGCAGCCATCGCAGTGAGACTTAACCCCCAGGCCACCAGGGAGGCCCAGGGACCAGGATTTTTACCTTTTATGTATCTTCCATGATGCTTGGTTCAGGTATCCATAGAGAAAGAACCCTGATTGGAGGAGAGAATTGCAAGTAGCAGAAAAATTGAACTCAACGGACTAAAACAATAGGAGCTTAACATGTCTCCCATTATAAGAGGTGTGGGCTATGTCTTCTGCAGGCTTGGTTTTTTCTGTGATACAACAGCATCAACAAAGATGCATATTCTTTTCATCGTTCCTGTTCTCAAGGTCATGAGATAGCCCCAACAGTTCCAGGCTTTATACCTTTGCAATAGTGTGCAGAGGCAGGAAAGGCAGGGAGGACCTTTTTCCCAGAAACCCCTCAGCAGACTGTCCTTTGTGTCTCATTGACTGGAATTGTAAATCACATGTGGATGTGTTAACCAACCACAGGCAGGAGGAGACCTTCCTAATTGGCCTAGGGTAATCTTGATTTGTGTGTTAAGCCTCAGAGAGGGACAAAATTAGGGTGCTTTTGGAAGGTGTAAAGAGCAACCAGCTGTGGCTGCTATAGAGTTTAAGAATTTGGGTAGTTTCGAAACTACTCCTTTATATCCTGTGACCCTGGGCAATGTATTTAACTTCTTTGTGCCCATTTTACCTGTGCAACAGATATTTATTGTAAGGTAAACCTGAATTAATACAATAATTACACTTGATTGGTAGCAGATAAAGATAATTTGAAGATTTAATCTCTGATGTCAAATAATTATAGTCCAAGAGTCATGTAGACTACCAATTTAACCAGAGGACACAAATAAGAAAGTTAATAATCATGACTTGCAGGATTATCTAAGGTAAGAGGAGCCTGATATCAGTGGGAGCCACAGTAGTTAGGGAAGGCTTCCTGGAGGAGGTGGTTCACGATGCATACTGGAACGCTGGCGTTTAGGTGTGAATGGGTTATGAGCTCCTTCTGCCCAACTCGCTTCCTCTTGCTTGCCTAACAGTGATACTGTTAGGCCAAGATGAGATCTTATCTCTACAATCACAGTATCTTTGATAGTTATTCCAAATATGGTCATTATTGGCCAGTTGTCATCCTGGAGGCAAGTCACAGTGGCTCTCCTTGGCAGTCCTGGATTTCTATTTCCATTCCTATAACACTTTTTTTTTTTTTATCAACTTGTTACTTTATATTTTTTTCCCATAGACTCATTGGATGAAGTCCAAACTCCTCATTCAGACATTCAAAAGTCCCCAGAGATCTGCCTGCATCCCATCTCCCCAGACTTACCTGCTCAGACTCACTACCATGGCTGACTCTGTTCAAGTTCCACCCTTCTATGTGTTTAACCCAAGTCAGCCTTTCTTCAAGGCCAGTGTAAGAACTGCATGTCCTTTAGACCTTTCCTCACCACTGGAGCTCACAGTGATCTCTAAAGCATCGATCTTTCCTGCCCCTGAACTTCTGGAGCAATTATTGCCTATGCCACAAATTCACTGCTTAATAATATGCCGCTCGTGTTATTATTTAGCATTTTGTTGCAGCGCTTCTCCTCTTATCCAATGGAAGTAAGATCGCTGAGATTGGAGATGGTGGGTCCTTCTTTGTATCCAGCGCTGTAACCTGCAAGCAGCTGGCACTTCAGTGAGTGGAAATAAGATTATTTATCTGAAAAGTCAGTTCATCTTTACCCTTTCTTCCTTAACTTCAATTTGGGGGAGGGACTACTGTTGATGAATGCCTATTCTGTTGGCACTACTTTGGGAGATTTTTTTAGGAACTATTTTATCTCAGCTTTGTAACACCCTAGTGAAGTCAGGAATATTGCCATCATTTTACGGATAAGGAAGTGGAGGCTGAGAGAGGTTAAGTGGCTCACCAGGGCTTGCTCAGCCAGCAGGAGGCAGCATAAGGGGGCAAGGTCAGGCTCTTTCTTCTGTACTTTTTCATACATCTTCTTGAGGTTCTCCTGACCTTGTGGGTGCCCTGTTCTCCCAGTTTCTTTATCCTCATTTACTGTGTCCCCTGCTTCCTTCTGTTACCTGTCTCTAATGAGTCTCAGGCTCTCTTTTGTCCCAAGAATGTGTTTGAGGCTTTTTACCTCTGATGTTTACTCTGACTCTTTTCTGAGGACCCCTGTCTGATCTGGGTATCCATCCACGCTGGGTATCCATGCCACCCCTCCTGCTCTGTGTCTCAGGTGTCTTACCTGAGCAAGGAAGACACTGCTGACTTATGAGCAAGAAGGTGGTCCGTTGGCGGTCTTGGCTGGCTCTGGGAACTGCATCTGTCTTTCTTCCATTCTCTAGGGCATTCTTCTTTCCTCTTATTCATTTGTTCGTTTGTTCATTCATTCATTCATTCATTCAATAAATACTGAACATTGACTACATGTTTAATATAGCAGGGAACAAAACAAGGCCTTTTTCTTCATGGAACTCGCATTGAAGTGAAGAGAGACTGATGGTAAAAAACAAACACATTCTGCAATAAACTTTGTGATTGTTGCAGTGATGGAAAATATCTAGGGGAAGGCAACATGGCCATGGGATCCTGCTAGCTTACACAATGTGGTCAGGGAAGGTCTCTCTGATGGTAAACATTTGAGCAGAAACTGAGGGGAAGGATGCCCTGTGGATATCTGAGGGCAGGGGGCACTGAGTTGAGGGAATGGTGAGTGCAAAGGTCCAGATGTTAGAATCTGCCTGGTGAGTATGAGGATCAACAAGAAGGCAGCAGTGGAGAAAACTCAGTAGGTGGTAAGGACTGCTCCTCTTTAGCCTCTTTACTGTCTCAGAATCAACGTCACCCTCTCACAGCTGTTGCCATTGACCGAAAAGGCCATTTCCTTTCAGGTTCCACTCAATCTTCCCAGCTCAGCTCCAGTCCCCCCACCTTCTAGGGTTTTGCCATCTCTGCATCTCTCATTGATTTACCTCTCCCCACTCTGAGTTCCTCCATCTCTCCCCTCTTCCCATTCAGCTCAGCCCTTGGTTCCACGCTGACTGCTTTCTCTTTCTCTGGAGTTGGCCTGAGCAGATGTCACTTTCTTAATGAACCAGCTCCCCCAAACTAGTTTACCTCCCTAGGACCTAGCACTGAGCTGGGCTCAGTGTCTACCCACTGATTATGCCGGTGTCAGAGATGGGCAAGAGCAGACTCTGCAGAGATTTGAAGGTACAGTGGGTATTGTCCCTTCACAGTAGATGGGACAGACAGTAGCTTTGGTGTTCCTGGAGTACTTTGAGCAGGGAGCCTCTGGTGGTGCC